CCCAGGCGCTCGGTGCCCCCCACCCTAACCCCCCCCGAGGAGGCTAACGAGGATTAATTTCCCCAATATATTACCCGGCTGCCTGCGTCCCGGCTCTCGAGCTCCGGCCTTTGCCCCAATTCGTGCGATTTAGCTGCGAAAGAAATCTGCAAAGGGATTAATTCTCACGTCAAGCCGGGGCCGGCGGGGGGCAAAAGCCCCGAATGGGGCAGATTTTACCCCAAAAAAGGGCAGCGCAACCCCGCTATAAGCCCTTAGAGAAGCCGCATCCCAGCACCTAAATTGGGTTTATTCACCCCAAAGAACAGGGTAGCGCAACCCCAGTATCAGCCCTCAGAGAAGCCGCATCCCAGCACCTAAATATCTGGTTTTTACCCCAAACCCAGGCACCCCCACACACACCAGCGCCCCAAAACCCTGCATTTTTGCCCCAAAACGCCCTCACTTCCACACCGCTGCATTTTTATCCATTTTTATTACGAAAAGAAGCCATTTTGGTGTCACTTTCTTTTTTTTTTGGTTTTTTTTGTTTTTTTTTTCCGGATAAGACACAACCGTGAAGCTTTGCTGAGGGGAAGATTGGGGTAAAACCCACCCGTTTAGGGACATTTAATCGTCCCACCCCCGTCAGGACACGAAAACGGGGGAAAACCACCCATTTTTAACCAAAACGCTTTCATTTCCACCCGAATCGCGCTCAAAGAGGGGGAGGAGAGAAACCACCAAGCTGGAGCCACTTTGTCACCCAGATCCAGGTTTTGGGGTTTTTTTTTTTTGGTGTAGCAGTGTTTTTTAGGGATTTTGATCAATTTTGAGTGGTTTTGGTTCATTTTGGGCTATTTTGATCAATTTTGGGGCTATCGCGGTCATTTTTGGGGCTATTTTAGTCAGTTTTGGGCCATTTTCCTACTCATGGGGCCGGTTTCGGGGCTGCTCTGCCGCCGTCCCGGTTGGCTCCTCTCTTTTGGGGGGTTCTGGGAGGTGAAATTCGGGGTGCGGTGGCAGGGAGGGGGGGTTCGGAGGTAGGTTTTTTAAGTTGATTTTTAGAAAAAACAGGCACATTCAGTCAACGGGACCCTTGGGGGGTGGGGGCGGGCGGGGATATCGGGGTGTCCCCGGAGAGCCCCAAAACAGTGGCGTCTCCCGCTTCTCCCCATCAGTGGCATTTTGGGGGCGAAAGCGGCTTTTTCCCCCCTCAAAAGAAATCCCCCCGAACCCCAAAACAAACCCTGTGCGACCGTGATGGGTT